CTTGGGACAATGTTATTTTGAGAATATGAGGGTTTGGTTCTTACGGGTGAGCTCGGGCTCCCCAATATATAGTGGTCACTAGGGTAGTTCTCAGTGGATTAATGTGGAGTAGCCATATATTTAGGATTCATCATATTCATGCCATGGTTTATATTTTTATGAGTTTTAGGGAAAAATTTTGGGCAAGGTTGAAACCTTAGGATGATCCCCTAACTCATTCATATCTTCTTGCAACCAAAGTGACCATTCTGGAGCATTTCGGAGTCATTTGGGTGCATTTGGGCACCCCACATTTGATCGGGACTTCGGGATTCAATTTATGATGCTCACTTTCATTTTTTCGGGCAGAATCTTGGCTTCCTAACGACCGATCATCCATACCTACGACTGATCATCTAACTGTTCATGCCTTGGGCAAATTTGTCACCCGAACTTGCAACAGTCATAGTTTGCTCATTTTAAATCCAAATTAAGTCATTCTTGAGCCCAAATTCAAGAATATTTTGTCATATTTCCAATAGTACCAACTTGATTCTCAGATTCCAATCCACTGTGATATATTTATATTTTAGTGAGATAGTGTCAGGAATTCACTTTAACCGAGAAGAGGTATTTGTGGGAAACTATGACCAAAGTCTTTAGAACCTTTTAAGATATTATGAAACGATTAGAATGGATTGAATGGACCTCTTTTGACTTGTTTAGAGTAAAATATCTCTTCTCATTTGTGAAATGACTATTTTACCCTTAGATATCAAATTATGTCTGTTTTGACCTTAACTTTCACATTTGCCTTTGAGTTGAGTCTTGTGATTTCTTATGAGGTTATTCTATTGTCTTAGAGGTGGTGTTTACCTCTAGTGACATCTTTCTTTGTTTTCGCTTCCGCATCTCGGACTTTGTATTAGGTTGGGTTGGATTTTAGTCTTCTTGATTAATGCATGGAATTTTGGGCGTCACATTAATTATATGAAATATTGGAATTTTGGGCGTCACATTAATTATATGAAATATTGGAATTTTACATTGTGTCTAGAATGAGGGAATGTTATGGGATTTCAAATTTAAATTGGAACAAAAAAAAAAATTAATTGTGATTTTTATTGTTTGGAAGTTTGGAACAAAACAGCATTGGAATTTGTGAAATTTCGAAAGCATACTATTTAATTATTTTTCTTATGTATAATTATAAAAACATGGTTCATTCAAGTATTAAATAGGATTGGTTGTAAAATAATAATACTTGAACGATTTTGTTTGTTGAACAAAGGAACCACTTGACAATGGTTCAAGTATTAAATATGACTGGTGTTACAATGATCTACCTGAAAAATGATTGGTTTTAAAATTTTAAAATTACACTAAATTTAATATGCTTTCTACTTGAAGACGTACTGTAATTTTTGTTCGTTAAAGCATTGTCAAGTGGGATTTCAAATTTAAATTTATTATGTAAAACATAATACCCACTTGACGTCAATCAGCCTGCGTATGATAGAAATATGTAATGCTTATGTGGTAAGACTTATCATTTTTTTTGTTATATCATTCTATGCCGTATGCACACAGTCATAATGTCATTAAACTAAAATACTTGTGTGTAGGGTTTCTTAAAAGTCAATCAGCGTAGATGGCAGTAGAATATAATACCTCGCTCTTGTAATTTGTAAATTGTTAATAGATAAAATAATTTGGAGAATGTCAGACTTAACATTGCATAATGTGATAAAAACTTTAGTTTAAAATAGTGGGTTGATCCCATAACATCCGTAACTGGGTATTTTTGTGAAAGTCTTTCTCACCAACCACTAACTTTTAATATTTTTGTCATAAAAAAAGAAAAAAAAGAAAAAAAAATGTTTTCTTAATATGAGTACTGATAAAAGAATGGGATGGAGAGAGTTATTTTTCAGTTTTTTTCAACTAAATGCAATAACAAATTGAAACAAAATTACACAGAAATGTAATTGTATAAACATGCTGTAATTATATATGGAAGCCCAAACTTGAGGGAAGTGGGCCGGAATCAGTCCATTGCCAATCTCATTCAGCCCAATACTGAGTCCTGATCATCCATCTTGTTTACTTTGTACTTGTTTAAGGTAGAGCCCAATCAATCCAACTTTTAGGACCAATACATAAAGTTTGGAAGAAAATTTAAATCTCATGTAAAATATTTTTGAGAAAATATATATTTTTTATTTTTTAGTATTTGGTTGTTGTAAAATTTTTACGGAGAAAAAATTATTAAAATTTAACAAAAATAACTTACACACGTTTGATGGACTCGACCTCTGTCAGATTACCTCGATATAAACTTTTGTCAAAAAAAAAAATCTTTTTTGAAAAAAATATTTTACGTCAATAAAAATTGATTCCGCACTCTAAACACAACATGATAATCAGTTGGAGCTGAAAGACTCAAAACTATTTTAATTTGATCATATATAAGTACAGTTTATCTTTATCTTAAATGCTTTACAATTGGCTATGCTCTCTGTATCAACACTGGTATCCAAATCATATATTTTGTAGGTCAGATTCAAACAACAAAAATGTCGTGGCTTTGACAGCACGGACCCAGACACCTAGATGGCACACCATGTTATGTTTCAGATTCTCTACCTCTCCAACCCATAACAGGCGCCAAAAACAATTTTACTTCCATTATTTATATATATATATATTTCTTTTTTCTGTTAATTTTTCATGATATAAAGTTGCACAAGGAAAAGTACCAACTTTGGCAATTTTCTATATAAGAGTGAACACCAACCATTGATGGACACGTGTTACCCATAATTGAATGCATACATAAAATACTATTACTTGTAATAGTTAATTATTGAGGTTATTAGCACTAGTTACATAAACAGCACAATTATATGGTAACCAATTTTTTTTTTTTTTTTTTTTTTTTTTTTTTTTTTTTTTTTAAATAGTAGGAGATCGATGCTCATGATCTTTTACACTAAAATTGTAAATCAAACAATATGGTTCAAATTATTATTAGAACATATATCTATGTAAATTTCGTGTTTATCTCAATCAGTACTTGAAACAAGTCTAAAAGTAGTTCTTAACATTTCCTCATTAATTTATATCAAAACTTGAAAATTAACTAAAAACTAATTTTAATTTGAGTTTGCTTGACAATCCTAATATATATTACAGTTTATATCACCGAAAACAAACATGATTTTAAGGACTTTATTAACCATAAAAATAGTTCCCCTAGCTACATGTCATTTTCTAGGAAAGTAGACAACAAAAGGAAAAGGAAACCCAAACGACATAAGTGGAGAAACCAGACTAGAAAGCAGAAACAAACTCTGTTAAATTTTATCTGCTTGTTCATCACTTTCCTCTCAAAGTCCATATATATATATATATAGTAGAACAAAAGTTCAAATAAATCTCTCTCTATATCATTATATAATTATACAAAAGATACTACTAGAGAAAGCTAGGTCACATAGATCATTGTATAAAATAAGCAGTCGAACGGTTGTAAAATTGATTTGTATGGCACAGAATTTCCCCAAGAGTCTAATGATTAGAAGATGTCCGATCATGATTGTACGGTATGTTAATCCCAATATTATATTATCCTAGAGATTTATTGTTAATTGAGTGCACATAAAGCTACCACGTACTCTCCAATATTATTATAAGCATAGTTTCCTCTAGAAAGCACCATACCCAGAGGTCATTTGTTTCATTCACAATCAGGCATTTCAATTGTAATATCTAATATATATCCACACACACACACACACACACACACACACACACACTGGCTAGAGAATGTCTTGACATTCCTTAAGCAAAGGATCACAATGCCCCTGCCCCACTTTGCCTTTTGACAGGTTGTATATTGTATATGACAACAATATATATCAAGATTAACCACTAAGAAATGCAAAACAAGCCTCTTTTTCTCACACTAGGACAACAAGACACGTGTTACACAATTGTTCATCACTGTAGTAACCAAAATACCCTTGTGAAGGACACTTATCAATATATATAGAACACTATGGTTGCAGCAGTGTATAGTCAATCAAATTTAGATTCCGTGCAATTCAATACAATGCAGTATCCCAAACAAATGTATAATGATAGAATACATGTGTGAAAAGACTCAATTGCACCTGAATGACTCCACAGCCAAATATCACCATCTGAACCAGAACCTGTAAACCCTAATTGGCTTGTCATGAGCACTGTCAACACAATGTAGTTTCCTCAAGCTATCTCTATTGATATCTCATGGATGTAAAATGACAATGCTACCCTTGTAATGCACTGAGTATACCAGGATCACTTGATACTCATAGAAATGGATCTGTGACAGCTTTTTGACATTTAAAAGGGAAAACCCTAATTTAAAGATGGGACCAACAGAAACCCTTGTTCATACTTGGCTCTCGAGACACACACACACAATGAAGCACACAAGAGGCTCACAATTCTCACATAAGGCTTGAAAATTGGCTGCTGCTATAAAGGGTTAGTGACACACACTGAGTTGATATAGCAAAATGGAAATACATGTGACATATTCCACCAATCATTAGTGATGGTATTCCATCACTCATATTTATAAATACATGTATAAAAACCATCCAAGAATTAGCTGAAAAAAGAAAGGTGTATGTATTACTAATTCTGATTGATTCAACTCAACATGACTCGATTAATTGGCTCAGAAGTTTAATTGTACGGAGAAATTTTTTTTTTATTTTTAATAAAAAAAAATACGAGTGATAATTATGAAGGAACTACAAGTTGTGGTTGCAGTTCCTATATCCAACCAATATTATTATTATTATTTTTTGTAGAATCATAAAATTAAAAGAATGGGTCTTTTTGTCAGTAAAGAAATATACTATAGTTAAATTAAAATTTCTTTTAAATATAGAATGCTTCCACGACTCATGAGTTCTTATTAGATTTTCCATGAAACCTAACTACCTTTTTACAAGGATAATTTTCCAAACATTTCCTATATAAACCCTACACCATGTGCAACAACTCGACAAGCCTCTCCATCGATCACATGTATCCCTGCACAGTCGGCGCCACCAGCATGGCTGGAAGCGTTGCCACCGTCGACTGCCAGAAACAAGTCCGGTCGTGGAGGCTTCTCCGCTCCCTCGCGGAGCTTCTCATTCCAAGCTGCAACTGCACCAAAATAGAACAACATGAAATCAAAGAAGAAAATTACATTCTTCCCACCACCTACTATTATTCTCCACAACCCTCTCGCATATCTTCCACTCTCATCACTGGTACCATATTCGGCTTTCGCCATGGAAAAGTTAGCCTATGTATCCAAACAAACAATAACTTCACCAACCCTCTTCTCCTTCTTGAACTTGCAGTACCTACAAACATTCTTGCTAGGGAAATGAGAGGTGGAATTCTTCGTATAGCACTCGACTGCACTGCAATAGAAAATGATGTAAATTCTTACTCTCTTTTGTCTATGCCAGTATGGACTATGTATTGTAATGGAAGGAAGGTAGGGTTTGCTGTGAAGCGTCGGCCTTCAAAGGCCGACATGGAAGTATTGAAGCATTTGGAGTCAGTTGTCGTGGGTGCAGGCATTATAAGTGGTGAGGAACTGATCAATTGTGAGGAGAATATGATGTACCTAAGGGGAAACTTTGAGAGAGTTCATGGTTCATCTGAGTCTGAGTCATTCCATTTGATCGATCCAGATGGTAGTATCAGTCAGCAGCTAAGTATTTTCTTTATTCGCTCGCGGTGTTAGGCCTTAATTCACTTCATATATCCATGGAGTTTTTTGGTTCCAAGTCTAGTGAAGGCCGGCTACTGCTTATATTATAACAGTGGAGTACTGTCATTTTTTTTTTTGGTTGTGCCACAAATTAAGTTGCCAAGCTAGGTTAGAGATGATCATATCCATATGTATATATAAGGGTTCCTGAAGGAAAATTGTCCCTAGAAAAAGAAAAAAAAGAAATACTTATTATTCAAGTCAATCGGATCAGATGTTTGGGATGAACTGTTCTTTTGTATATGTTGGTTTAGGATAGTATGTTGACAGTGTTAAGATTCATGCGATTTTACATATATATAATATATGGGTTGAATTAAACTTGATAGAGACTTTGACAGTTAAGAAAATTAGATAATTCCAATGTGATATTGTGTCAACCTCTACTTACAAACCTGATTAATTGTTATTGTTGTTGATGATGCTGTTCTTGTTCTTGCTATCACTATTGTTATTATTAACATCGAACAATAGAATCCAGGTCATAAAGTAATGAATCATATATTATTAGTGTTGGTAATCTATTTTTCTTAAATTAGTTTGTCTGATTTATTGGCAGACAAGACAGACATTATTGAATAAAAACATGAGACACGATATTAGTGGCCATATCATATGGATGTATTACAACCATTTCAATTTAAGATTAATGGTCTTAACCTACAAAACCACCAACTATATGGATATCTTACTTGACCTGCTGTTCAATGTGCGCCTACAGATTTTATCTAATCATTGTCTCTTTAATAAATACATACATCTGTTAAAAATGTATATATAAATACATATATATATATATATATATTAATATATATACAGAAATAACAAAAACTTCATTTACACTATACATAATGGTCGTTGATTAATATGACTGCTATGTTTTCTTTAATGACTATCATTTTTACATCTAATAATTAATCACTATACATAATGCACGGATGATTTTCTTGTTGACCATCATTACTATAAGTTAGAGCCCATTTAAGTGAGTGCTGCCTTTTCGGTGGGTTGAGTGGCTTGCTTTAGATGGGCGGGTGTTTGGGCATGAGCTGTAGAAGTGAACGACATGGCTTAGTGTGTGTGTATATATATATATATGCACTCCGAATATATATGCTGATGTGTGACGCACGTATGTGAAATTATAATGCACACGCCCATCAATCTGTCGTTTATGGTTGAGACAAAGCCAATCATATAGTCACACCCTACATATATCTTGGAATGAGTAGAAAAATCAAATCGGAATAGAATGAAATCGGACAATCTCTATGAAGTATCGTGTGTGTGTGTGTGTGTGTGAGAGAGAGAGAGAGTACTCAGTCTTCCCACAACTGCATAAAAAGTTGTGTACCATGACTACAATACATCATGGAAATACTCATCACTCGTGTGAGTGATTAATGTGGACCATGGATTACAGAACACCAGTTTTAAATTCTAGCCAAACTTTGTAGCTGAATATATTTATTTTTGTTTAATGGATGGGAGCCCTCTTTTAAATGGTGGAGTCATTATAAAAAGATAATTTTCCTTTTTCAGTCACTATATTCCTAATTCTTTTTTGCCGTCCTTCTGCTAAGTCACAATTAGTTACGTGAAAACATAAAAGAACCCCAAATCTTTTAAAAATTACGTGGGGACCCTTTAACCCCCACTCCTTTGCCATTGTTGTGTACCACCAACATTTGTCCACGTCAAGTGACTGTAAGAGAGAGAGAGAGAGATACTATATACTAGAGATGGACTGTTAGGTAACTAACTTAGGTTCAAGTCAGAAAAGGTAAAGTTCTCACCTTTTTTTTTTTTTTTTTTTTTTTAAAGCACAAAAAGAAAAAGAAAAAGAAAATATATGTATAATTTTTAATTCTTCACACTTGGGGACATTCCAAAAATTTAAAATAAATTCATTTCATAAATTCACAAGTTATATATATATATATATATATATTTTATAGAACCTAACCTTTCAATTTTTTTTTTTTTTCTTAAATTATTTTATGATTCACTAACAAGTAATGATTTAAGGATCAAATTAATTTATGTATGAGAGGTGGTGGATTCCACAAAATCATGATTACATTATGTAATAGAGTCCACCACCTTACTTAGATTAATTAAATTAAATGACTACCGAATTTGATCCTTAAATCATTATTTTAATGATATATCTTGCACTATCACTAAGTATAATATTCAACTAAAATCACATTCCTTCTTAAAAATTCAATTGATGCATTGTAATATTAACGAGACAGGTAAACTAATACTATAAAAAAATAATAATAATAGTCCAATTTATTTATACTTTTGTCAAACACAATCCAGACTAGTTAACGAATTTTAACCTACTTCAGAATAACTAAAACAACGAAACAGTAATGCTCCAATGAGCCTACGATATCTATTTGATAAAAACTTTTCTACTGACAATTGTTATGAACTCTCTCTCATGTTATCAATGTACTAAATTATTTAAAAGATAATTATATGAAAATTATAGAATTAAAATATTATTTTAATTCAACAAATTGCTCCAATCAATCATACTTGTACATGTTCTTTCTTTAAACTTTATGTGACCAAATTATACTATATAGTATACTTTTATTTTGAAATATTCTTTTTATTTATTATAATTTGTGCATTAATGTCCTACCAAGTCATGTTTTTGAGAACTGAGTCACGGTTCTCATTAATTTTTTACGGAGTATTTTATTATTATTCTTATTATTTGGACAGAGCGAGTCCTAATTACTGTTATAAGGCTTAAAAAGAAAATCTTTAGGAACCTGATTTGCGGGTCAACCCGACTGATAGGTTTTAGGGTTTTGCAGAGCGAAACCCAAAATTGACAACTCGTCACTTCCCACAAGCAGAGAGGAATTCGTCCTTTGCTAACTAAAAAACAAAAAGGACGAGGGAAAGAGATAATTGCAGATGAGGAGCCGTAAAATGATAAAGATGAACAATCACTTCGGTGCTCTCTCGCTCCTACTCCTCTCTTTCTCTCTCTACTTCCAATCTCCTCCGCCTCCGTCCTTTTCTCGCCGTCTCCACCAGCTCCCGCTATCTCTCCCCGTCGTCAGCTACGATCCGAGGGCTTCGCGATTTCGAGCACTAGCTTCTTGTTACAGGGATTCGGTTTCTGTGTTTTTTGGGGGTGATCGAAATTTATGGCGTTTGTTGGTTGTGTGGTTTCATAGACGGTAATAGAAAGATGTAGATTGATTAGGGTTTCAAAATAGAGGGACGATTTCAGATTTTTTCTCAAATGGGTTTTCTTTTTGAACCGGGTTAACCCGTTAAAAATGAATAGACCAGGAGGAGGCTGTTCCTCCTGATAGGGTTGGATGATGTACAACAAAGATACATTTGAACCAAACAAATAGTTCCCACCTACACGAGTAAGTGACAACAAAACGGTTTTGCATTTTAGAGCATCAACTAACCGTCATACGAAACTTGGTTGTTGAGACTTGGAAAAAGAGAGAGAGAGACTGAAAGAGACAGAGAGACACACTCAGGAAAAGATTAAATAAACTCATCATCACCTTCTCTTGAAATCTTCAACCCCCACCAATGCTGTCTCTGTGCGTTTGCCTTACTATTTCACATTCTCTGCCATATATGAATCTACTCATTTCTCTTCAACCATCCATCTATACTTATGGGGAGACCCAATTTTTTCACCAAGAACCCTGCATCTTCCAACTCTGTTCTTGAAAATCTCGTCAGTACACCCACCATCCAACAAAATGGATTCAGAAGTTCGGTGTTTGGCCTCTTACGGCGGTTCATGTCAGGAAGTAAGCTTCAAACTTCCTCCGATTTAATTTGTTTGATTTATTTATTTATTTTATTTGTATTTTGATCTTTTTTTGAGTTGAATTTATGATGGGTTTGTGTTGTCTCTTCCAAATTTGTAGATAAAATTGATGGGGGTTCACGTACTGAAGAAGAAGGGAAGGTGTACTCGTGGTTATATGCATTGGCCCAATCAGAAAAAGACTTGGTGTTTGAGTATGTTCGGTCAACTGAAAGGGGTGAGTGTAATTCTAAGTCTATTTATTGTCCTTAAATTAGTTTTGGGATTGTGGGATCCTTAAATTGGTGCTGGTGATGTATGTGAAGTAATTTACATGTGTCTAGTGTAATGCCTATTTGTGGAACATAAATTAATTTGGATCATTTTAGTATAATTTGTGGAATATAGATAAGTTATTCATTGCTCGATCTATAATGTAGGCTCAGTTTGTATATAGCCTAACAGCATTAGATGCCCTTTTGATGAGAAAGTTGAAATGAGGAAAAGAAAAAGAAATATAGACTGACAAATAACTACTTTGTTAAAGAAAAATCTGCCAACACTCTTGATGTGTAGCAAATTTAAAACAAAGACTCAATTTGTGTTTAGATTTTAAACTTAACCAACTAACTTGTCCTACTTTGTTTCTTTGCTTAAGAGTAAGATATTACCCTCGAGGGAAAACAAAGAAACTTGTTGATTTTATGGATTCTTTGAGGGTTTAGAGGCGTATTTGGCATTGTATAGCTTTTATACAATCTTTACTTATCACAAAAAAAAAAAAAAAAAAAAAAAAAAGACTCAAAATCCCAATTACATCGTTTGAGGCATTAGGTCTTTCCTCTGGCTCTTTAGGTGGAGTCAGTACTTCAATGTCATCATCATTATCAATAGTTTTACCAACATAGTCATCATCAAATTTGAAATTGATCAACTCATTACTTTTCTGGTTCTCAGATGCTCTACTGTTTGAAGCATTACCTAAAATGTATCCTTAATTACTACTAGAATCAAACTTACCTAGATCCTCTCTATCCATTAAGATACATTGTTGTAAGATATTTTAGATTAGGCTTTTATTAAACTATAATTCATAGGGTGTCTTATTACTGTTAGGCCTCAAATAAATTCTATGTAGGTATGACAAGCAGTGTTTACAACCTCTACCTAAAAGTGTTGATTTAGACTAGGGGTGGCAATTGAGCGGGTCAGTAATGCGTCATTAATCAGTTAGTGACCGCTTGGGGCGGGTCATAAGCGGGCTGGGTATTAATTGGATTAGTCAACCCGCATCTAACTTGATGACTTTTTTTTATTTTTTTTTATTTTTTTATTTATATACACAAATGTCTTGTTTGTTAAAAAACGGATCAGTTCATTTCAAACCCAATAATTTATGAATATACGCATTTAATTGTTTTTTTAAACTATGTATATTCTTTTGGGATAAAGCATGGTAAGTGGAAGTAAACACGCTGTGAGAAAATTGTAATAGGAAGGATGTAGGATGAGATCGGATTCAATTATATATATATATATATATATATATATATATATATATATTCAAGTATATGATTGAATTTCTATTGAAGTTTGGAAGTGTTTAGACAGAAAATTACATTAATTTTATGCCTGGGATGTGATTGAATCTATTTTCTCACTTGGATATCAATGAAAAATATAAGAAAAAAGACATGAAAATGGTATTTGTTGGCTCAAAGAACACGTGATATGGTCAACTGTGAAAAAAAAAAAAAAATACACATGCATATGATATGGTCCTAAGGAGATGGAGGTTCAAATACGAGAAATATCAAATTTTTATTTTATTTTTGGATAAGGTCGATAAATAGATGTATTAACCTGATAAGAAAAATGTTCCACACTGAGTCCTTTATTTTGCATTAGTTTTGAATGAGCTTATTAGTCATCTCAAAAAGAACTTTGCACCGTGTATTTAGAGTTTGCTGGCTATTTTGTTTTGATTGTGTTTCTCTCTATAATTACTGTATGAGAATTTTATAGAGAGAGGGGGTGAGTGAGAGAGAGGAGCTTCTCAGAGAGAGAGAGAGATATATAGAGTGAGGGAGAGAGAAAAAGAGAGAGAGAGGGGATCTTGAGAGAGAGAATTACAAATTATTAGAGAGAGGGGATGGAGGAAATTGAAAATTAAGTGGGTAGGGAGCAGAAGCTTTAGAGAGAGAAAAAGAGGTGAACAATCATGCAGAGAGAGAAACATCATGTAGAGAGAGAAAGAAAGAGGGGTGTGAAGATGAACTTGAAAATTACGTGAAGGGAGAGCAAAAGTTATAGAGAGAAAATTGCAAGTTTATGTTTGAGTGAACCAATGAAATACCGATAGTTTTGTTCTTATGAACCAATGAAATACCGAGGGTTTGATACATAATAAATTGTCCGTCGTTTTTTAAAAACAGACGAACGGGTTCGATAGTTTTGTTCTTTTTTCATCAATTCTGTAAGAGTTAAATTCTTTTGAATCAGCATTATATCCTGACCCATTTCTCTCCTTTGAATCGAGAATATAGCAATTTCTTTTGGATTTCTCAGTCTAAGCAGGACACAATATACTTTGACATTATTGATCGTTCTTTGATTCAAAGTATCATTCCATCTCAATTAAAAAAGCAAATACTTGTTCAGGAAGAAATGGAGTTCTACTTCTGTGTTATTCTTGTATTGTTTTTTATTTGTATGTTTTATCATATTTGATTCTGGATACTCTTCTTCAATATCGTTTTGTTGGTGTGAGAGAGGGGACCCGAGATATTTTTTGTTTTGTGCATTTGATCCAAGATCTCCTTGGCCTGTGGGTTCTTTTTCTTTTTCTGCTTGATTTATATTCTTTATCTTTAATTCAAAAGATTGTTTTTTATTCGATGGTATAAAAAGATTCCTTTGTTGCTTTCCGTTGATGTTTTTATTTTCACTCAAATTGTCATTTATAGTTAAGTTTAAAAGAAGCAATTTGCTTGCTATAACCCATGGTTTTATTTTGTATATATTATAAAGTAACAAAAATTCTGGGAAGAACCAAAATTCCAGATTCAATATGGGACGATTTAGTATTTCTTCATTCATTCCCATCCAATCCAAAAACATTTTGTTTTGGTTGGGTGGATTGCTTTCCGGATCTTGATGAATCGGAAGATAAAAAAGATATTTCTTATCACTTTAATGAATTATTTGATAATTATTAGTGCCGGTCTTAGTATTTTTATTGCTGTTGGTATTGATCTCGATCCATGCTTCAATATTGACTTTTTTTCTAGGACAAAAATTTATAATTTTCCAATCAAAATATTTTCTATCCGGATTTTTTCCCATATACCCAATATCACCTTCTCTTAGATAATTATTGATAGTGGTAATCTCTGGCATATCAAATAATTTGTGTTTATATGTATTGTAATTATAAGAAATTTCTTGGTTCTTAATTGCTTTGAACTGAGATCCATAAAGATATGAGTTCCTCTTATTTTCATAATTAATAGATTTATATGATAAAAGATCATATCTATAGTTTTTTTGAAAATTTTCTTTTTCATTCAACAATGAATATATTTCATAATTTTTTGTTTTTTTGTAATGAATTAGTTGGTCTTTTTCATATGAATCCCATTTGTTTAAATCTTTAGTTTGAGCCGTACGACGTTGATTGACTCTATTTCGCCATTTTTGTGGTATTAATCTAGACCATTTAATCTGAGAGAAATCGTATTTGATAATGACCTCTTAACCAAATTTTCCGTTGATTCATTCCAGAATTCCGAAGTATCTTATGGCTTAATTTGAAATGAAATATACCTTGTGTTCCAAAATAGTCCTTTATTGTATTCTTAAGAAAAAAAGATGTTTCGTGATATTGAAGAACATATCTTAATTTATACAAGTTAATAACTTGGGTTTGGGATAATTTGTAAAATACATATGCTTGTGACAAGGAGGATAAGTCAAAAAAAATCTGTGAATTTTTATTATTATTACTAATATTATAAAGTGACTTTTTTTATAGTGGAAATGAAGTGAATTGTATTTTTATTTCTTTTAGCAATTCTTTCTTGATTTGTTTCATTATTGTAAATGCATTTATCAATAATTTTGTTTGTTGATGATGTAAGAAATAGTTGTGTATTGATTCTGGGAATATTAATGATATATAGAAAGATATCCATGTATATCTTTTCAATGAATTTTTTTTATAAAATAATGTAATTTACGGATTAATCGAACGTTTCTTCTTTTTAAAATTTGCCAAATAGTTTTTGGTGATTCTAATCTTTTAACATTATAACTTGTTTTGTTAGGACTAATATTTATTCCTGGAGTTTCTGTTTTTTTCTCTTTTGTAATTCTTTCTATTTGATTTCTTATTGTGCTTATTCTATCAGTTAGATCTTTCGTTTTCTTTTTCTGTTAGTGAAGAATATGTCCAATTCGTAGATCGAATTTGACTAAACGATTCATGAATTGTCCGATCGTTGATTGTAGAATCTTTTTCTTTTTTAGTTTCACTCGACTCATCTACTTCTTTCAATCTAAATAATATAATTAAATTTACTTTTGAAAGTTCTTTTAGTATTCTTTTTATAAATAGAATGCTTTTGATAACCCATTTTCTTGTTTTGTTTAAAACCCTTAGAAATAATTGATTCTTTCTTTTAGAACTCTTAGAACTATAAAGGACTTATTCTTCAATTGCCCAATTTTGTTTTCGAGGAAAACCAAAAGGAAGGTTGGTTTCCATTCCCCAAACTGTTAAAAAACAAAAATCGGCTTTTTGTACTTTTCCTTTCTTTTTCATTTGATCTTTATGGAATGGTCGTAGCTTTGATTTGTGCCGAGGTTTTAGACAGAAAGGAAATAAGATTTTTATTTAAATACCATCTAGTAACCACTTTTTCGGAAATTCTGTTTCTGATAATTGAACACCGTTATAGGTGCATTTAACATGCATTTCTCCAGCCTATTCTTTTAAATCCTCAGACCACTCGGGAAATTGCAATAATAACATATGACCAATATTTTTAGCTATTTGTCAATGAAGGTAATATAATATATTTTCTAAAAACTAATTGAGTTACTAACATGGAACCTCTTATTACTTGAGCAAGCGGAATGGTATCCCAGGCTTCTGCTATTTCTATCCGCGTTTTCTCCTTTCGTTTATTCTCTTCTTTTTTTCCCTTTCTTTTATTGGTTCTTCTGTATTATCTAAAATTTTGAATTCTTCTTTTTTTCCCATCCCATTTTTAAAAATTAGTTTCATTAGTCTAAAGACATCAAAAGAAAAATGGAGGGATTTGTCTATTCTGTCCAAAAAAAGGGGGGAATGCATATTTGCTTGAAACAGTTCCTCAATAACTATTTTACGTCTTTGAGCGCACATAGAACCTTTGATTATGTTTCGATGAAAATCCGATTGTTGTGAATAACGTATTAAAGCCACTTCATCTTTTTGATTAGAATTATTAGTCTCAGGGTTGCCTTAGAGAGCCCCTTCAAGATGTGTGGGGAGCTGGGATCCGATTGTGGACAGATTCGAGAGGAGGTTGGCGAGTTGGAAACAGCAGTACCTCTCCAAGGGTGGTCGGGTCACTCTGATTAAAAGCACCCTTTCTAGCCTCCCTACTTATTTCATCTCTCTCTTTCAGATTCCTTCTTCAGTGGTTGAGAGAATTGAGAGATTGCAGTGCAACTTTCTTAGGGGTGGGGGGGTGGGGGAGGGGTATTATCAGGTTCGGTAGGAGCATGTGTGCCGTCCGATTCGGGGTGAAGGCTTAGGGTTAAGGAGGTTGTTGCCTTTCAATAAGGCTCTCATTGGAAAATGGCTCTGGAGGTTTGGGATTGACAGACATTGGCTTTGGCGGAGAGTTATCGCAAGCAAGTTTAGGGTGAGCAGTGGTGGGTGGAGCTCTCTTGAGGTGCGTGGTCCTAGGGGGGTGGAGGTTTGGACTTGCATTCGGAGGGGTAGGATGATTTTTGCAAGCATGTTCGTTTTCGGATCAAGGATGGTAGGAGGATCAGATTTTGGGAAGATCTTTGGTGTGGGGAGCTTCCGCTTGCTCTCGTTTTCCTACGGCTCTATAGGATTGCTTCTCACAGACATGCCATGGTGGTTGACTGTTATCACCTTGATAATGGGAGACTGACTTGGGATGTTCAGTTTAGGAGGCACTTTCAGGACTGGGAGATTGAGTAGGTTACTCGTTTTTTTGAAGGTTCTGTATCGCCAGGTGATCACAGTTGGGGTTTCGGATTGTTGGCTCTGGGATCCCAACTCTCAGGATCGATTCGAGGTTAGTCCTTTTTTAGGTGCCTTTCGGCTGGTACCGGAGGCCCTTTCCCCTGAAAGTCTATATGGCGTTTGAAGGCTCCTCTTAAGGTTGCCTTCTTTGCTTGGACTTCCGTCCTGGGTAAGATTTTAACCCAGGATAATTTGAGGAGGAGGAATCAGCTGGTGGTCAATCATTATTATATGTGCTTGTGTGATGAGGAGATAGTTGATCACCTTCTTTTACATTGTAGCATGGCCAGAGACTGTTGGGATTTGATGCTTGGATTATTTGGGGTTCATTGGGTTATGCCTTGTTCATCTAGAGGGTTGATTGAGGCTTGGAGAGGTGTCTTTGTTGGGGCTCTCACTTAGGATGCTTGGAGGGCTACGCCTCTTTGTATTTGGTTGTGCATTTGGCTTGAGAGAAATAGGAGACATTTTGATGGAAAGAAGAAACCTATTTCTTTGCTTAAGTTCTCTATTATTTCTACTCTTTGTTGTTGGGTTTCAGGGAGAGATTTTAGATCCTTGGAGGAGATCATTGTTTTTTTGGCCTCTTTGAAGGTTTGAGGTGCCTTTTGGCCCTTGTGTTTCTTTGGGTTCCGCTCTCCTTTTGAGCGTTTTTAATAAAATCTAACTTATCAAAAAAAAAAAATTATTAGTCTCAGTATCGATATTTTGTTGGTTATTAGTAAAAATCACTACACGTTTAGCTTTTCTTGAGCGAATTTGTTGTTGCACTGTCCCGTCTTCTTCATTTTCTCTTTCCTGTTGTTCCAAATCGTTGATTAATTTGTATGGCCACCGAGGGACTTTTTTAATGATTTCTCGTATTTCAATAGATTTTTTTCTCATTTTTTGATCATTAGGATCATTTATAATTCCATTGAATAAAAATTTCAAAAATTTTACTCCATCAATTCTTTTGTCTATTGATAATAGTTTTTTTTTTTTTTTATCAAATGTATTTAATTTTTGTTCAAATTCTCGATAATCTGTATCAGTAAAAAGGACACTGTGAATCTTATTTATCCAAATTTTTTCTATAAAATTTTCTATGTAAGTTTCATTTATGATTGAAGGTGAAAACTGATTTTTGATTGTTCCACGAGACGATCCGTTCGAAAAGGATCATACATTTTAGGCAAATATTCTTGCCTGGTTTCATCAGTACACAATCTAGTTTTTTTTTTTTCAAGTAGATCCAAAGAAAGGGATCCTCTGTCTAGAGCCTCGATTTTGTTTATAAATTCGTTGCTTAAGTTCTTACTTTTTTCTTCATTAGTATAAATCCAATTATTGTATAGTTCGTCAGAGGGGGGTTTTCTATTGTGTACAAGGACATCTTTTTTTGTATCATTTCCCAAAAGGTTGACAAACTGGGTGGATACGTAAAAGATTTTTTATTTTTTTTTCCCATCACTTTGGCGTGTATAAAAAAAATATTGTGACATTTCATTTCTTACAGCCTTTTCAAAGTGTTGGTTTTTTAAATATCGCAATGGTCGATTCCATCGGTTATAGTCGAAAAGAAGAATCACAATCGATTTTTCAAACTAGAAGGGGTATTTCTTTTCTTCTATATAATTTTCTTTATTTTCAAGTATTTTTAACTTCGAATTTTCTTGATTCCCATCCAGATAAGAAGTCTCAGAAATTGGGCTATTTTGATAGCATGTCTAATTTATGTTTAGGCGGGTTGTAAGTGGATACCCACTCTCAACCCATTATGACCGGCTAATTATACCATTCATTGCCAAAATCCATTAATTAGAGGGTGGATTTGGGCGGGCTGGCGGGCTTGGGCATAAATTGCCACCCCTAATTTAGACCACGAGTATTGCTCTTCCCATCTCTTGTATTAGCCTTTTCTTTCTTTCAGCTACACCATTCTGTTGTGGTGTACCGACAGTAGACAATTCATGTTTAATTCCTAATTCATTACAATAGGCAATGCATTCACTATAGAATTCTCTGCCTCTATCACTTCTGATTTTGTCAATCTTATATCCTTTTTCATTCTTAATTTTTGACAAATTATTTTAAAGTTTTGATAGGCATCAGATTATTCTCTCAAGAAACTCATGTATACCTTCACAAGCCTAATGAGCTGAACCATGGATTGTTCTTGCTCAGCTTGTTTATCAAATGAGCTTAAAAATCGGTTTGTTTGCTTAGCGTACAATCTGATGCTGAGCTTTAATCGAGTGGAGCTCGAGTTGTTCATGAAGTATATTGGTCTTGGTATTATTTCTGTTTCTACATGAGGGGAACCAAAAGGATTTAGAAAATAAGCATAACTCTTGATGTATGAATGAGCTATGTGTCTATATAAACAATTGTTTACAGAAAACATCTGCAAGACCAAACATTCTTAAGATGGGGAATCAGTGGGTGATTTTTTTTGTTAAAATATTCTAGTTTTTCTTTTCTTGAAGAGAAAATCACTGCTGAGAACAGTTTGGCATGAATCCTAACAATGTTATGCGTTCAACTAAAAGAACCAAGGAGGAGTTTTTACCTTTCTAAATTAATGGAAGAAAATTAAAAGATCCTTACATCTCAGTTATGTACACATATTAGTGAACAGAATTATTAGCACAACCCAATTATTTTTTGTTCCAATGATAAAACAGATCCTGTTTCTTTTGCATAGGCCTGAGTTTCACAGAAGCTGAGAGGAGATTGAAGGAAAATGGCCCAAATATTCCTCTTGAACATACTTTCCCAAGCTGGTGGCATCTTCTGTGGAATGCTTTATTTCATCCTTTCAATATTATTTTGATCGTCTTGTCAGCAGTTTCGTACATAACCAGTGACAACCCCAATGGATGCATCATGCTAGTATTGGTTTTCATAAGTGTCTCCCTCCGATTCTACCAGGTATTCTTTTTTTTCACTTAATTATATCACTTAGAGAGGCAGAAGACTTTCCATTTCTCAAGCATGTTTTTATGGATTTTACATTTTACCTTTCAGGAATATACCAGTTCAAAAGCAGCCATGAAGCTTTCAGAATTTGTAAGATGCCCAGTTAAAGTACAAAGATGTGCAGGTAGAGTTGTTCAGACTGAGTTGTTGGTTCAAGTTGATCAAAGAGAGATTGTAACTGGTGACATTGTTGCTTTTGAACCTGGTGACCTTTTCCCCGGTGACGTGAGACTATTAACTTCAAAACAGTTGGTTGTAAGGTAGGGCACCTGGTATATATTTCCATTTAATAGATGGGAACTAGTGAGTTCTTTCATTCCGTTATTTCTTTTCCTCTACAGCCCATTATAGAACACATGATCACATCATGCTTCTTGAACAGTCAGTCTTCGCTAACAGGGGAGTCTGGAACAACTGAGAAGACAGCTGATATCAGAGAAGATCAGAGTACTCCTTTGCTAGATTTGAAGAATATTTGTTTCATGGTAAATCTAAATATTCCTAGCATTGTCTTGTTTGTGGTGTAAGCTGTAGCTTTAGTTTTAAACAACATGTGAGCTATTCAATGTAGAAAAGTGACCTAGGATTCAAGAAATATATTTTTCTTTTAGAAAGTATTGTGAATGAAAAGATACAATAATGTTCATTCACAAATAACAACATTCCACGAATTCACAAGTACACTTACCAAACACTTTCATGTCATTCACAAGTAACAACTCAACTATATCTTTAGTTCTGTAGGCAGTGTTTGAGCGATTAAATGTAGCAATTTGTCAAATACATGATTTAAGAATTACTCATTGTTTACACTTTACAGTATCTTGGAATTCAGGTATTTTCTTCAGAAAGTATTGTTATATATTGAAAGATTGTGCAAAACCTCCAATATGACTTAGCAACTAGAATTGTGGAATCAACAATTTCTAACATATATTTTTCACACTCAAGTTCCATTGCTTTTAATTTATTCAACAATTCAATAATTTTCCAATTTTAGGTTGAAATGTTCGTTATCTAATTTAGTACAAGCAAGTCTAAAAATATTGTCTTCATAATTGTTACGACAAATGCAGCGAACCAAAGAAACAATTACGAAACACAACAGAAAATAAACATGCCACACACAAATAACTCAAAGATTTAGCGTGGTTTGACGCAAGTCATGTCTACATCCATGGTGAAGATTCGGCAAAAGGTTTTACCATGCGAAAAACAAGAGATTACAAGTTTTAGCCGCCAAATCCTAGCTCTCGCTCTCATTCTTTTCTTTTTTTTTTTTTTTTTTTTTTTTTTTTTTTTTTTTTTTTTTTTTTTCTCTTGCGATTTTTAGTGTCTTTCAATATCCCACTCAACCCTAAACACCCTTATATATCGGGCTATAAGAGAGTACCAAACAGGGTTCACGACCTGCAAACAAAAAAGGGGTCATAATGCGACACTGAACCAAATTCGGGCCACAACATCACAAATCTCCACCTTGGCTCTAATTCCGCCAAGTTCCATAATCTCCAGCTATTCCTTTCGCCTTCTTCACATGCCCCCAAAGGCCTTAACAACTGCAAATACCAATCAAGTCTAGACAATGTATGAACTTGACAGTAGAAATGACCTTAGTCATCATATCCGCCAGATTCTCTGTTGTCCTAATCTTCCTCACTGCAATAGCACCCTGTGCAATCACATCTCCGATGAAGTGCAACCTGACATCAATGTGCTTGGTCCTCTCATAGAACATCTGATTTACACTTTGACTGTCATAATATCTACTTCACAGCGTGCAAATGGACCTTCCCAGGTCCATCCATGTATCTACTCACTATACTAACTGCATGTGAAATGTCTGACCTAGTGCACACCATTGCATACATGATGCTACCAACTGCATTAGTATAATGAACACGAGACATATGCTCCACCTCCTTGGTTTGTGGTGACAATCTTGATGAAAGTCTGAAGTGGGCTGCCAATGGAGTACTCACAGGCTTTAATGCTTGCATACTGAAGCGTTCAAACACATTTTCAATGTATTTCCTCCGTGACAAATGCAATCTGCTCGCTCTTCTGTCCCTGTGAATTTCCATACCCAAAATTCTTTTCGCAGCACCAAGATCCTTCGTCTCAAATTCACCACTATGCTGAGCCTTCAACATGTTGATATCTAATGTGTTTCTGCAAGCTATCAACATGTCATCAACATATAACAAGTACAACTGTCTAGGAGTCTACTTCAGCCCATACAAACCATCTGACAGCCTCCCGTGATACACACAACTGTCAAACCACTCCTATAGTAGCCACTCCCAACCATAAAGGTGTTAAATCGCTTGTACCACTGTCTAGGACACTGCTTCAGCCTATACAAGGACTTCTTCAGGAGGCAAACATGATATTCCTTTTCCAAAATCTCAAACCCCTCAGGTTGATGCATATAAACATGCTCTTCCAACTCACCATGTAAAAAAGCAGTCTTGACATCAAGTTGCTCAAGCTCCAAGTCATACCGAGCCACCATAGCAAGTAACACCCTGATTGAGCTATGTTTCACCACAGAATAAAAAACTTCATTGAAGTCCTCCCATTCCCTCTATGTATAGCCCTTCGCTACCAAACGTGCCTTGAACCTCACATCTTCTAACCCTAAGGAGTTGGCTCACATGTGTAAGTCACTTGGCCCTAGTGCCTCATGAAGCATCAGGTATAAGGTTAGACTCCTTTTGGGTGCAAACAATTCCTTGAGGGGGTAGGGGGGTTGTGTGAGTATCGATTAGGAAAAAAAAAAAAAAAAACCTCACATTTTCCACTCCTGAAGTTCCTTCCTTCTTTTTGAAGACCCATTTACTGAAACCTCATAATTGTAGTTTAGAATATAAACCCAAACTTTCCGAGAAAAGTTATCAATCTGTGTTGTCATATATCTACCACCACCATGTGAAACAACCTGAGAGGGACCCCAAAGATCAGAATGGATATAATCGACCGTACCCTTGGTCCTGTGAATTCCCATACTAAACTTCACTCTGCACTGTTTTCCGAAGACACAATGTTCACAGTATCCCAGCTTCCTAGTTTTCAGACCACCAAGTAGACGCTGCTTACTTAGAACATCCATCCCCCTCACTCATATGCCCAAGCCACATGTGCCACAATCTAGTAGTATCTAAATCTGGATCTGAGCACAACAGTGAAAGGTAACCTAGAGCCTTAATAGAGTAGTGTAGACTGCAGACAATGAACATGGCACTCAAAAAGCCCGAATTATGGTTAGACCTGCACTGTCACTGCACTACAGAGGTTTTGTTGACACCTCTTTGAAATGATGGTAAGTAGCCACTGTAGCTTCCATATAATTCTTGAATTGCTGCCTTCTAAAAATAAGCTGGACATTTTTTTTGTATTATCTATATCTATAAAAATATATTATCTATCTATCTTGTGAAGATAAGCTGGACATGCTAGACTTTTTTTCTATTATAATCGTATTATGCAATTTCTAGAATATGATTGCTTAGTTGCATTATAAATACAATGATATGCAACATAATCCAAAAGCGTCTAACTGTTTTTTGATGATTCTATCTTTGATGTAACAAATAAAGTCTCAGTTTTCTATTTTGAGAAAATATTAAGAAAGCACGACTTCTTTGCCGTTCTGCACTCTCTTTGAGATGGCTGTAATGTTTACTTAATGGTTTACTAATTGTTAACATGTTAAATACTGAGACTTTTGGGTTTTACATGATATCTCAGGGAACAAGTGTGATATCAGGTAGTGGAACTGGTCTAGTTGTTTCCACTGGAGCCAAGACTTACATGAGCACCATGTTTTCAACTATAGGGAAGCAGAAGCCACCAGATGACTTCGAGAAAGGCATCCGCCGTATATCTTATGTGCTTATCGGTGTTATGCTCATAGTAGTTACTATTATAGTCCTGGTTTATTACTTTACATCTCGTAATCTGAGTGAGAGTATTCTATTCGGAATCTCGGTTGCAAGTGCACTCACTCCTCAGATGCTTCCTCTCATTGTAAACACAAGTCTTGCTAAAGGAGCACTTGCCATGGCCAGAGACAGATGCATAGTTAAAAGCTTAACTGCCATTCGGGACATGGGATCCATGTAAGATTCATTTACCTCGCGAACATTTAGATGCATATTTAATGAACATATAGTAAATTATAAATATCTATTTTTACCAATCAAATGGTGCATGGAGGTGAAATAATTTATTTTATTTTATTTTTTTCCATTTAAGTTTCTTTCTTTGTTTTCTTCTTTCCCCTGGTTTTCTCCAAATAGATTCAAGCAATTACTTAACTGAATCTTTACACTTAAGGCAATGCTTTCACCTACATCAAGTTTCTTGTTACTTTGCTTCTACATTATTTTTCTAATTATATAATTCATCGGGATAAATTTAGTGGACCAAGTATCCGATTTATTTGAAAAATTACAAATTCAACCTTGTGTTTAAAATGAGTTTTGAGATGGTGGAAAATGTTAAAAATAACACGTAGAATGAGAATGTTCATATCATCTGTCAGAACTTATCAAATCTAGCTGAGTTCTGGGAAATTTAACCAGTGGGACCTTGAGTTTCGAATGAGTTTTTAAATTTAACATGTTAATTGTCTCTTACACTGTATGGCACTTCCAAAACTTGTGCATAGCTTTGGCTTTGTACCTCTGTCCCTAGAAAAGGTGAGAAGTTACTCTCACTTTGAAGTTTGAATTGGATAACACGGCGTCTTTTGTCTTACACATTAAATTATTAAGTCAAACATTTGACATAAACTTAATAGAAAACACCAAAGAATAGTTATTCACATCACCAAAAATACCCGAATTACATTAAAGTCAGTGGGTAGAAAGGCAGATGCATGAGATCTATCGCCACTTATTAACAAGACGATGGAGTTTTTGGTAAAACCCCCAAGTCCAACCAGCACATGATTGAAGCCATTTGCATGTTCTGAGAAGTGAAAGCACCTTCATACGGATGCTTAACTTAGCAGAACATATTATTTAAGTTATTGCAATCTTCCATAGCTTATTTGTCTAATTCTAAATATTATTGATTATCACTGATTTCAGATGCATGAGATCTATCACCACTTATTAACAAGACAATAGAGTTTTCGCTTTCGGTGAAACCCCCAAGTCTGAGAGCACATGATTGAAGCCATTTCCACGTTCTGAGAAGTGAAAGCACCTTCATAGAGATGCTTAACTTAGCAGAACATATTGTTTAAGTTATTGCAATCTTCCATAGCTTATTTGTCCAATTCTAAATATTATTGATCATTACTGATTTCATTCTGCTACTAAAAATGTAGTTACTTGTAGCTCATATATTGTGCTCTTTTCTTTTAGGGATATATTATGTATTGACAAGACTGGTACTCTTACCATGAATCGTGCAATTATGGTTAATCATTTTGATAGCTGGGGCTCAACCAAAGAAAATGTCTTGCGCTTTGCCTTCCTTAACGCTTATTTCAAGACTGATCAGAGGTATCCTTTGGATGATGCAATTTTGGCATATGTATATACAAATGGATTCAGGTTTCAGCCATCCCAGTGGAGAAAGATAGAAGAGATTTCTTTTGATTTCACACGAAGAAGAGTATCTATTATCTTGGAAACAGAATTGAATATAAAAAATAAGAACAGTGACTTCCTCGAAAGACTAGTGATAACTAAAGGAGCACTAGAAGAAGTAATAAAAAATTGTTGTTTTATTGAGCATGTTGATAGGGGTGAAGTGACAAATTTATCCAAAGAAGACCATCAGAGGATTATAAATATGGGAGAAGAACTAAGCAATGATGGATTACGGGTTCTAGGAGTAGCAATGAAGAGGCTAGATAAGGTGTGTCCGAATCTCCTTTTATCACTCTTCTCATATGCATTCTCACTGCTTTCATATCCTTATCTGCACATATTTGAAAATTCCACAAGTTTTAATATTGTTGACAATGAGATTCGAATTATTATTGTTGTTAGTAGGAAATTTAATGACACCACACAGAAACTATTCCCCGAGTATCATATGAAATTTCATCATTATGATTCTAAAGTTCTCATAGCTAAGTTTGAATTGTCTGCAGTTCTCAACCTACATTTGAGTCTAATCCTTTTTGTGAGTAAATTGATTGACTGGATCTGACTTTCTTCAAATCTGAAAGACTAACTAATTGATGCTTTATTGCAAATTCGTATCATGCAATCTTTCGAATCTATTTTAGGTTTCCTGTATGGAAATCATTTGCATGCCGAAATATATAGTCTTTATTTGACAGTTCCCTCCTGGCATATAATTTATTTTAATATGATTTATTAATTAAATGTGAGGGCTCAGTTTAAGAAAGCTGAAGCTACTTTTGATGCCTTCTTCTGTTAGGATAATATTTGTATGTTGGCTAATTCTGTTCCAAAATTATGTTCGAGTGTTAGGATGTGAACAAAATGTTGAGTAAGTCTATGCTGGAAATTTTGCAGAAGTTGATTTAGAATTCTGAGTTCTGGAGACGGAAGCTACTTCATAATATCCTTACAAAATGTTTCATGATGCTCAATTACAATACGTAAAGGTAAGAAGAACCTTAGAGACCTTAGGTTCTAGGTATAAATGGTTTTATATAGTTTTGGACTTACCTGTGTTGGGGCACAATGGAAGCAAAAGAAGAAATAAAGCAATCACACAACAAACACAACATATATGTGGTTCACCAAAAATCAGGGCTACGTCCACGGATGAGAAGAGATTCACTATATTTGTAGAGATATCACTGGACCATGCACACAAACTCTTGACCAAGTTCTCCGTGTACTCCACGAGACTCCCTCCCGCCATCAGTGTTCACTCTACCCAACGTGTAACTACATCTCTGTCCATCAGCTTCAAGCCTCATGAGCCTATATCTCTCTCAACTCATACCTCTCAACAATAACGTAGGTATCTATTTACGGAGTCTCATATCCAATTCCTTGATGGACAAGGATTACAATTTCTTAGAGCTCAAGACATGTCTTTACAAGAAATTACCATAATAAAATAATTCTAAAATAGAAACCTAATTACAATAGAATTTGAGACACAATTCCTAACAATCTCCACCTTGGCTCAAATTCCATCTCGCCAAAGAAGAATTCCCACGGCATTGATCTAGGCAATTCTCTACAACTTTAATCTTCTCGATCTTACTACAGAACTCGAATTGTCTCCAATATATACGCTGCTCAATCAGTCAAACCTCCACCTTGACTACTCGAGCTCCATGCAATGTAACCCATCATGATTTTTTATTTATTTTTAATTATCGTGATCAAACAAGACGATTGATCGACTCCCACCTACAACTGAAACCCGTTGCAGAATCTGTTGCGACTTCTTGTGTTTTAGATCTTCTTCGAATAAAGGTTGAACTTCCCAAAACGAACCATTGGCTCTGATACCACTTGTTGGGGCACAATGGAAGTAAAAGAAGAAATAAAGCAATTACACAACAAACCTATGTTACATAGTCTTGGATGTGGGTGTCGGACACGGAGGACACACGAACACGGCTAAATATTCATTTTATTAATTATTTTATTTTATTTTCTAGAGTAAAGTAATGTTTTTATCTAATATAATGTTCAATATAGGCATTTTACTCATTTTAAAGTTATGATATAATGTAATTGAATGATTAGATATGTTTTTTAAGTACATTTCCAACCAAAAGTGTCGGACAGATATCCCATACCCATGTCCGAGGGATACGTGTCCGACATGGGATATGTGTCTGACACGAGTACTTCATTACTTTTGAAGAGTCCATTTAACAAAGCAACAAACACAAGATATACGTAGTTCACCCAAAATCAGGGCTACATCCACGGATGAGAAGAGATTCACTATATACGTAGATATATTACAACAATAAAGAATTTCTAACACTAGACCATGCACACAAACTCTTGACCGAGTTCTCCGTGTACTCCACGAGACTCCCTCCCGCCATTAGTGTTCACATTACCCAACGTGTAACTACATCTCAGTCCATCAACTCCAACCCTCATGAGGCTATTGAACACAAATGTGAAAAGGAATAAATTCTAATATTCTTTTTTCATATCACATATGTTAGTTTACAGGCCTATATATATAGAAGTGTATTACAAATTCTATCTAAGGAAAAGATATATACAGATTATAATTCCTGTAATATAAGAACTACTTATGTAAAATTTTAAAAAGTCAACTATCTAACTATGGATAATTTCTAAAAATCCTCCCTAACTAATTTCCTAACAATTCAGCCTAGATCTTTCCACACTCCCCCTCAAGCTGGCACCAAAAATATCTTGCATTCCCAGCTTGCATGTAAGATTGTCAAATTTCCCTTTCGGTAATCCTTTAGTGAGGACATTTGCTACCTGTTTTCCTGTAGGAATATAAGGAATACATATCACTACTCCTTCCAATTTCTCCTTAATAAAATGTTGATCAACTTCCACATGCTTAGTCCTATCATGTTGGACAGGATTGTGAGCTATATTGATTGCAGCTTTATTATCACAATAAAGCTTCATAGGCATCAGACTTGAGATTTTAAGATCTTCAAGTAATATTTTCAGCCACAAAAGTTCACAAATTCCATGAGCAACTGCTCTGAACTCAGCTTCTGCATTACTCCTTCCTACAACGGTTTGCTTCTTGCTCGTCCAAGTAACCAAGTTACCACCAACATAAGTACAATAACCTAAAGTAGACCTTCTATCCATCACACTACCTGCCCAATCAGCATCGGTATAGGCTTCAATTCTTCGATGGCCGTGGTTTTCAAACAACAAACCTCTTCGTATTTGAGAATCAGGTAGACTGCCTCAAAGTGTTCTTCTCCTGGTTAGTGCATAAATTGACTCACTATACTTACTGCAAAGGCAATATCTGGCCGAGTGTGTGAAAGATAAATGAGTCTTCCAACCAGTCTTTTGAATTGCTCTCGTTTCACCACTTTTTCTGCACTTGCTGCCTGCAACTTTAAATTGGGCTCCATATGTGTTTCCACCGGTTTGCAGCCAAGTAAACCTGTCTCCATGAGTAAATCCAACACATACTTCCTTTGAGAGACAAATATCCCTCTCTTGGACTTCAAAGCTCTAAGATCTTTTATCTCAAATTCCTTTGCAAGAAAAGACTTCAAAGCCTCCAATTCTCTTTTATTATCTCCAGTCAAGATTATGTCATCCACATAAACAATAAGTATGGCTATCTTACCATCACTTGAATGTTTGTAGAACAGAATGTGATCAGCCTGACTTTGACGATATCCATGACCCTTGCTAGCTTTAGTGAATCGATTAAACCATGCTCTGGGATAGCGATTTCTTCAATTTACACACCTTTCCAGCTCCATAATCATTTTCAAATCCTGGTGGTAGATTCTTAAACACTTCTTCCTCTAGCTCACCATTTAAGAACGCATTCTTTACATCTAACAGTTGCAATGGCCAACTCAAGCTTACAGCAAGAGACAACAGCACCCGTATAGAATTTACCTTTGCCACTGGGGCAAAGGTTTCCTAGTAATCTATTCCATATGTTTGGGTGAAGCCTTTAGCTACGAGTCTCGCCTTGTATCTCTCAATATTACCATCAGCCTTATATTTGACCAAGAAAACCCATTTGCAACCTACGGTCTTCTTCTCCCTTGGCAACACAACAATCTCCCAAGTTTTGTTCTTATCAAGAGCTCTCATCTCTTCCATAATTGCCGCCCTCCAGTTAGCATGATTCAAGGCTTCCTGTATAGTTCTAGGAATTGAAACACTAGAGAGACTAGTGGTAAAAGCTCTATAGTTTGGAGACAATCTATGGTAGGACGCATATTTAGCAATAAGATGCATGGTACAAGAGCGAGTACCCTTCCTAAGTGCAATAGGAATATCAAGGTCATGAGAAAGGCTCTCTTCATTGCTGGTTTCAGGAATTAAAGATGGATTAGAGACGGAAATACTTGTTTCATTCAAGTTGCCTTTATCCGGAGAATTTTCTTGGCAGGTAGTAGGTTGGTGCTCTTTATTTTGATCCTTCCTTTTTCGAGAGTAAACACGGAGCTCAGATTGAGGTTGGATTTGAAGCGGTTCTCCCCCTGAAGTGTAAGTCTATAATGTTTGACTCAATAGTCATCGGAGAGGTTGAAATAGTGGGTTCAGTAGGTAATGTAGAGTTTGGTGAAACACTCGGCAATGGTAAATAGCCCAACACTTCCCAAAAATGCTCTTCCCTCTCATTACTCTCCCCTGAAGAGTATTTTTGGTGAAATAGGGTTGAGTCTCAAAAAAGGTCACATTTACACTCAAAAGAATTTTTTAGAGGTGAGGTTATAACATTTATACCCTTTCTGTTTAGGAGAGTACCCAACAAGCATGCACTTTTCAGCCCTGGATCAAGTTTTGAATGGTCCCGTGTATGAACATGTACAAAAGCAGTGCATCCAAACACTTTAAGAGGTAATGAGGTGAAGATCCTAATATGGGGAAAAACCGACAGCAAGCTGTTTAGGGGCGTCTCAAATTTCAACACCCTAATTGGCATTCTGTTGATCAAGTATGAAGCTGTAAGAACAGTCTCACCCCATAGATATTTAGGAACCGCCATAGTGAACATTATTGCCCTAGCAACCTCAAGTAAATGACGGTTTTTTCTCTCATCTATCCCGTTTAGCAGTGGGGTATCCAAGCAATTGGACTGGTGGAAAATACCCTTTTCTTTCAAAAAATCACCAAGAATAGAGTTAAAGAATTCTTTTCCATTGTCGGTTCTAAATACTTGAATCCGGGTTTAAAACTGGTTTTAAATCATGGCATAGAACTCTTTAA